GGGAGGGGAATAAGTATGGAAAACACACTTTTATTAAACTATGCTTCAAGTTCAGACCAATCAGACATAAATGCACCAAATAGATACCTGGGAGCCTATCTCCCCGGTTAAAAAGAGATAAGACAAAGCCGAGGCTCATGCACATGTTCCACGGGCGAATCACAAGCCACGCAGTAAATCGATCGAAGCAAACTACATTCCTGAAGACCTGCATATACAAGAAACTTGAGTATTAAAATGCTTCTAAGAGTAAGATGATATTGCATGTCTCGTAAGTAGTTGTCGGTATTAGGGCTGTAAGCCGTAAGTGATGAGAAATATAAACCATGGAATCCTGATTGATATCAACGCCAGGTTGGTCCAGAGGCCTCCGAATGATATGGACCCTGGAGAGGCAGCAACCCAATGAAAGGTGTGCCCGCAGAAAAAGAAAGAAAATCAAAGCCCACCACATGATACGCCGAATCCAAATCCTATGTTTCTAGTCCACAGAGCCAGTCTATAGACATGAAGAATGCTGCGATGCGCAGATCTCCTTGCGGGTCCCGCCCTTGTAGCCGCGGTACCCAGTTCATAGAGTCACGCTCTCGAGGTCGCGCATGACAATACCCATCTGGGCCCGTTTGGCCGCCTCTGCCACAAGATTAAAATCCTGCAAGAAGGGCGCTGTGGCCGTAGGACCCCCGAGACCATTTATCTGGTGGGGGTAGTTCTCGGCCGGAGCAGGCGCTGCATTCAAAGGTAAAAGGCCTTGAGAGTTGCCCGCTGCGGGGGCGATAGGCAAGGCAGCCGAGTTGGAGGCGTTGCTTAGTGTCTGTGACAAGGGTTGCATCGAAGCGGAGGTTTGCGGGGCACATGCAGAGGGTTGTAGCGAGGGCGAAGAAAACACCTGCTTTGTCGCATTCGTGGCAGCCTCCAGGGTAGATTGGGCCTGTGCGGCCATAGTGGACTGGTCGGTGGAAGGAGCGAGGGTTGATGCAGAGGGAGTGAAGGAGGCGGAGGAGCCGACAAGAGGCGCTTGGGGGTTGTAGGCTGGGCGTAGGGTTGAGTCCATGACGTCTAACGGAAAAGATCCACACCGGGATCGGGTAAAGTAGGTCGCAGAGGGGTGGTTGAGATTGAGAGGGAGAGTCGATAAAATGAAGTCGCTATGGATGAGATGCTCGGGCGACCGGATCTAGGACGGATTCTGTAGGCGACAGACGGTGGCAAGTAAGGAAGTTGAAGCCGCTTCGAGTGCAGAAATGCAAAGCCAAGGCAGTTTAGCTCCGAAACAAAGTGACGGAGTGATGGTCTAGGATAAAAATATTGGTAAGAGGCACCGAGCAACAAGTGAGAAGAAAAGAAGAAGAGAAGTCTCAGGGGTGCAGATGGCAAACCTCATCGGCATATCATCTCCACAATACGGTATGGTAACCTCGATGCGTCACGTGATAGTTTGCAGATTTCGGATTTCCGATTTCAGTTGCATTGAAGTGTAGATTCGAATTACTACTGCTGACAGAGTGAATATTGAGTAAACATTGAGTGAGACCGAGATCGAGATCGAGTCATACTTTTGACCTACATGTACAGCCGAGTGATCCGATCCTTTACAAGTGATTTACCATACTCCCCCACCTGGAGATCAGTCCACATTGGTGGCCTGAGGCAACCGCCCGCTGATAATCGATAAGATCTTATTTTTTGCGATTTCTCTCTCTTCACCTCACCATGGCCGACTACGAATCAGGGAATCTCTTCGAGGATCCTGAAGGGTACTACCCTGAAGATGAGCCTCCAACATTCGCAGAGCACTGCATGCTCTCAGGGCAGACCGTGCGCGTGCGTCTGGTTGGCAGCCATCCCCTCTATGTACGATATCAACAATAGGATCGAGAATTCCCGACTAACCCTGAACAGGGAAATCTGCTCTGGAATGCCGGCCGAACGAGCTCTCATTACATTGAAGAGCACACCGAGGAATTGATCCGCAACAAGGATGTCCTCGAGATCGGTGCTGCGGCGGGCGTCCCCAGCATCGTGAGCGCCATCCAAGGTGCCCGCACCGTGGTCATGACCGACTACCCCGATCCCGATCTTGTGGGGAACATGCAATACAATGCCGAACTATCGACAAGCTCAATTCCTCCCCGATCAGACGGAAAGCCTCGTCTCCATGTCGAAGGCTACAAGTGGGGTAGTGATGTGAGCAAACTGCGGGCATACCTTCCACCCGCGGCCGATGGCACTCCTTCGATGTTCGACGTCCTTATTATGGCGGACGTGGTCTATAGTCACCGCGAGCACCCGAACTTGATCAAGACCATGCAGCAGACTATGAAGAAAGACCCCAAGTCTGTGGCCCTGGTCATTTTCACGCCTTATCAGCCTTGGCTGTTGCCCAAGACCGAGCAGTTCTTCCCGCTGGCGGAGGCGAGCGGCTTCACGGTCACAAAGATCTTTGAAAAGGTGATGGATGATGTTTTGTTTGAAGACGATCCTGGTGTAAGTCATATCTCTCAACCCGGTGATATCCACACTAACCCTTCATAGGATGAGAGACTTCGCCGGACTGTGTTTGGATATGAGATCCGATGGGCTCAGGATCAATTGGAGGAGGATTCCAAGGCTTGAATGCCGATTTTATACCCAACTTGGAACGATGACATGAAATCATGACAAAAGTTCAATAGATTTTAGATTAAATAGAAACTCGAAGTTGTAGATCTTCACTTTTGTGCTTAATCCACCCCTAGCCATACTTTTAGAGTAATCCATTACTATATATATCGCTTGAATCAATTGACGCAAATGTTGAATCTCCGAACTGCGGGTCACATGGCCAACCCCGCATGAAGAAAAAAAAAAGTCCGCCAGAACACAACACTCAACCAACGATGCCGGTAAGTCGAAGTCCCCGATAAAGGTGCAATTAAACTGATATCATCTAGCTTGTCATTCTAACGGGTTACCCGTGCTCCGGCCTCACTTACCGTGCCAACCAGCTCGCATCGCTGCTCGAGAAACACCAAGATGAATTATTCGCGGCCTCCGAAGCAGGCACGCCAGTGTCATTGAAGTCTCGATACAAGGTCCACGTTGTCGCTTCTCATGATTCCTCACACCCGCGCATTGTATACGATCATGCCCGCACAGAGAAGGAAGCGCGTGGTGTAGCTTATGCAAGAGCCAAGCGCGTGCTCAAGCGGGACAGCATTGTGATCCTCGACGGAATGAACTACATCAAGGGATGGAGGTACCAGCTGTGGTGTGAAGCAAAAGCTGCGCAAACAACCTGCTGTGTGGTATGATCTCAGAATCTGTATAATGTGTTGCGGCAATGGCTGACAGTTTTGGCAGGTTCATGTCGGAACACCCGTCGACCGATGCGTCGCAATCAACGACGCCCGACTGCGCCGACAATCTACAGAGAACCGAGATCAAAGCGCACCAGACGCGAAAACTCCCGAAACCAGCGAGACACCAGCACCAGCAACCGAATCAGAATCCTCCGCAGACAACGAAGAGCCATACCCAGCCGAACTACTCAACAACCTCATCTTCCGCTACGAAGAACCCAGCACCCACAGCCGCTGGGACAAGCCCCTCTTCACAGTCCCCTGGGATGACCCACAACCCCCAGTGGCAGACATCTTCCAAGCCCTCACAGGCGTGGTCCTCCCGTCCACGGAAACCGAAACCACAGCCCCAATCCCAAGCCTAACGGACTCCCTGGCAAACACCACCATCTCCGACACAGCCAGTATAGCAACCGGCACACGAACCATCGGCGGCAGCCGTGGCGGCCTCTCAACCCGGCCCAAGATCGTCCCCCACCAAGCAACCGTGCAAGCAGTAGCCACAGACTCGAACGCGATGTACGCAATGGAAAAGAAGACATCAGCCGTCGTATCGGCAATCCGCACATTCACCCAAGCAACTCCATCCGCCGAAGTCGCTCTAGCGCAGAGTGCGCAGGCTGACGGAATCCCAATTGAGGTTCCGGGGTCAACGGTACCAGTCTTCATTCCAGCGCATGTTGCTATGTCCGGTACGACGGATGAACTCGCAGGCGCGGGTGGTATTTTGGCTTTGCCGAAGCTGCAGAGATTGCGGAGGCAATGGATTAGTTTGAACAGAGCTTATATTGGTCGTGGACATGGTGCTGGTGGGCCTGGGGCTTTGACGGCTGATCAGGTTGGGGATGCATTTGTGCGGTTCCTTAATGCTGAGTTTGGGGGTGGGGAGACTGCGGACGATGAGAATTAGATGTTGATTTGAATGAGTGGATTAACCTGTTTAAAGATGGGTCTATATAGATGTTTTGTTCATAGCGCTAGATGTACTCAAAGTAGAGTTATGAGATACGAGTTTATGACCGATATGAAGTTCAGACATATTAGATCTACTTGTTTAGAGTCATTTACGTGGAAGTTATCAAAATCAAAGCTCATTGAATCGAGATACACCAACGCACAATCTATCAAAATCGACAAAATAAGTCCAACAATCAATGCTGAACACAAAACTCTACCGTCGTTCTTCTGCCACCCCTTTTGTGACACGATCCCCGCATGCTGTTCCTCCGCATAAGTTCGGGTTCTCCAGTGTCCTTGGAGATAGTTTATTGGGTCTGCAAAGCCCAAGAATCTCTCGGTAGCAGATCTCCATATGATGAGCCGCAGCGATCGGGGACAGATCACAAGCGCTCAAGCGCGGGCTCGGGGCCCGCGCTGGTCCTATCCAGTTCATGGCTCATGGCCGTCCGAATGATCCAACGGATCAGAGATTAGGAAAGAAATACCTCGGCCGAGGGCATAAACGGGATTATACACCAGGGTCCTCGCGAGCAATCACACTGGTTCCTCCATGTGTAGAAAGTAGCCTGGCCAGCAAGCAGCACGGCTCAGGCGCCGCGCAAAAGGAAATAAAAACGATCCTTCCGTGAATTTGTTCAAATATATTAACCGCCGTTCGCCTTACAGATAGAAAAGGCTCAGCGGCATCTCGAACACCCTTCACGCGGGCAGTCCACTTGGCATCTGGGAAACAGCCTGGCTGGCCTCGATGTGACGGTAGTTCAAGCCCAAAGTAAACAGTTCTTGGAGACCGGCGTTGACACGCTCGTGCATGGAGGTATCCTGGGGAGTGATGTTGGTCAACTCTTCCAACAGGCGCACGCGGCACTTGTCGTAGTTCCGCTCAGCAGTCTGGAGACGCTGACCGAGGCTCGCAGAGGCCTGGGTAGCCTTGACAGAACCAGCCTGGGAGTGGACGGAGCGAGTGCGCTTCATAGTAGGAGCGGGAGTGGCACCGGTGACTCTCCTCTTACGGCTAGCGGGTTCCTTCTTCTTGATCTGACCAGCGCCGGGCGAGGTCTCGGGTGAGCTCTGACGCTCGGAGGTGGCATAGTCGTGGACACGGCGCATGTGGTCGTAGAGGTTCCATCTCCGGGGGAATCCATTGCCTGGAACAGCACGTTCGCAGCCCTCCCACAGGCAGAGGTGGGGGTTATCTCCGTGGCCATGGAGGCCGTGGGCTTCACGTTCGTGGCGGAAGAGACAAGCGTTGGAAGAGAAGCGGAGCTGGGCATCAATGCAGGCGGGGGCCTTGCACCGGTAGGGCTTCAGATGGGAGTCCAGGTACTTGCTGTTTGAGGCAGATCCGTTAGCTGGGGCTCAGATGAAACCAGAATGTCATGCACGGGAGAACTTGCTGGTAAGCGCATTTTTGCGTGGTGGGTGGGTGACTGCAGGGTTTCTCTCCGGTAGCGAATGGGCAGTAGTATTTTCCATCGCTGTGGGTGGACATGGAGTAGTAGTGGTGCTCCCGCGGGTTGCGAGCCTCGACACCTTCCTTGGATCGCTGGCGGACCTGCTCTCTCACGGGGAGCGGTTGGAAGAACTCTGGTTCGACCTTGGGCTGAGCAGCTGGCAGAGCTGAACGGCGGGACTGTCTGGTTGGTCTAATGGTCCTACGTGATTGTGGTTAGGTTTCTGGTCATAGGATCTCTCATATCAGCTTTGTCGACACTCACCTGTGGAGGTCCCTGTCAAGAGTGTTGGGGAACAGGGGCTCTGCTGGGTTGATTCCATGGGTTCCGAGGGGCGAAGTGGTAAAATCTCCGAGGAGTGAATCATCAGGGCCCATAAATGAAGGGAATCCAGAGTTAGAGCAAGAGGAAGTGACAGAAACATCATTGCTTGCGTCGGTCAGTGGTGGGGAGACTGGGACAGTCTGGAATAGACCTGACGAAAATTGGTCCATGGTGGTTCCTGGGTATTGGCCGTCATGCATCATGGGGGTCCATGATTCAGGGCCTGTGATATAGTGGCCGTCCTCGGTGTGGGAGCTGTGTCCGATGGAAAGAGCATCATCTGGGGTGCCATTCCTGTGGCAGACATCATTTTCAACAGAGGAAAAGTCCAGGAAAGAAGTATAGAGATCCCGGGACATTTCATGGTCATTCATGTCTGGGACTGCTGGGAAGTCCACGCCAGAATACATCACATCATTTGGTCCGACCGTGGGGGTCATCAGCTGCTGAGACAGCGAGAAAGAAAGCATGTGCACCTCGGAAGAGTCTTGCTTAATGGGCTGGTCTGAGTGGTTCAAAGTCCAGTCTTTCATGTCCTGGGGATTTCCATGGCTTGTAGGAATACTTGAACACATCGAAGAGCTGTCATGGCTCGACAATTCATCATCCTGGATTGATCTTGAGGCAAGATTTGAGATTCCTTGAACCATGGAGGTATGCATGGACTGTGACATTGAGACCCGCTCAGGGTCGTTGGTCCTTGGAGACATTGTGATTGTGGTTGTGATATGAACACTGTAAGAAATGAGTCAGTGACCTACTCCTTGACGTTCAATATTGAGAAAAAGCAAATAAAAAAATAAAGACAAAGGAAATCTCCATGGTCCAGAGTGAAATAGGACCTAGTAACAGTCAGTAAATGAAAAGTCTAGCTTCAAGAGTTCTTCAATATTTTAACGCACCAAAGCCGCGTGTGCGAATTTGAGAATTCCTAGGCCGAAGGGACTGAAGGATCCTGGTTCAATTCGTCGTGTCTATGTTGTAAAGCCCGGGTCTGGTGTCAATCCATGGAGTAGTAAGTGGTGCCAGGTGCAGAACAAAGGTTCATGCTGGGGCTACTATTCGTCGAAGCATCATCATCCGGGTAAGTCCAGGTAAGTAACTGTCGCTCATTTTATTGTGATGGCCAGATCAGGTATACGGGGCCAGGTCCATATCAATGGCCTTGAGAATGTTGACTTTGGGGAGGTTGAAGCGGATGCTTCTCCATTATCGAAGTGCAAGCACATTAGCTTGAAAGAATCCTTGGTTGTTCCAATAGGCAAAGTGGTTCCATTATTGTTGAGATAGCAACGTGGCCTTAGCAGTATGAGAAATCCAGGGAAATGTCATTTCTGTCCATAAAGTGGTTCATTCTAGGGGCGCTGGTTCCAAGGGGAGTGCAGGGTCCAAGGGTATATCCATCCACTCTTCACTCCAGGTTTGGAGCAGAGGCGAGGTCAAAAAGGAGAAACATCCAGGGTAGTAATCCAGTGGTAGTTTGTTGATTGAGAGTGCACACATTAAACACATCTCAGAGAGATAAACTCAGCGGGTGCTGAGGGCAAGCAGTCCTTGGCAGGACATCCTGTTTGGGTCGCCAAGATTGGCAAAGTCCATGGAAGCAGTAGTGAAGTCCGTAGGTCCTGGGAGATTGGTTGTCGAGATCCTTGGCAAGAACAGTTGATGGAGATACAGGTCCAGAAGACAAAAGAAAGAGCGCATAGGAGAAGCAATTGCAAGGAAAATGTGACGGGAACTACCTATTGAGTGTTTGTCGAGAGTGGGCAGACTAAAAAAAAGCCTGGGAAATAACAAGAAAGCAAATCCTGTCCGGGGAGTATGTGGCAGTGAATCCTTGTGGCAGACTTGATTGCATCAAAAAGACCAGGGAGTCTTTGAATTGAAAGGCCGGTCCAGGGATTGCTGAGTGTTGTTGTAAGGGAGTATATAAAGTGTGAGATGATATGAACAGTCACAAAGTATATGTTGTGAAGTAAAAGGGGTATCCAGAGTTATGGAAGAAAAGAAAAAGAAGATGAAAGAAAGGGGATCAGCGGCTTTTTAGCACAGAGTCAAGCGAGAAGCTCGGACTGTGGACCATCAAACACGGCGTGTGCCAGACACGCATAGTACAGCCTGCGTTGGCACTATTAAGAGCCAATGCAGCAGACAGGCGGTGATGGGCTTTGCAGATGGGGGGTGTTCGTTTGGCTGAGTGGAGGAATCTGTTCTAGCGGTGAGACCGGCTCGGCGTCTTGAGTGCTTGGCAATGGATATGATTGGTGAAAGCGCAGGCTGACGCTGCATGATGATGTCTATATTGGTCGATCGGCAGGTTCCCTTGTCGCGTGTTGATGAGATGGCCATGATTGTCGCTGTGTTGCGTTATCGGGTGGTTGTGAGCATCCCACGTCCCAGGCGCTACGGGAGTGCACATGCGGCGTGACCCTACCCCACGTCATTACTGGAAGTGAAGCAAAAGAGAATCAAATAATATAAAATAGAATAAAAATTGTAAATTATAATCATAAATCATAAAATTTTGAAATGAGAAGTATCTATTACGGGCCAGCGGGACGGGGCGAGGCGACCCACGTTGGGCAGCCATGCAGCCATCGGGCGCTTTTCCTTTTTTTCAGTCAGTCAAATTCCTCAAAAAAGTGTGAGAGAAAATCATGATAGGTGACAGGATCAGAAAAATGAAAGATGGAATATGTTTTCGTTCAGTAATCCGAAGATTTCAGGTGAACTATGCTTTTGATATTGTTGTTCATCATCCAGGAGGATGGGGGGAAATTGAAATGGGAAGGATCAGATGGCTTACCTGTTAGCGGGACATGTCGGAAGCTGAGTTGGCAATCATAGGCATAACTGGATTGTTAACTGGTCAGAAACGGTCAGAAACATTGTGATTGACGGAAGAAGTGAAGTGTGTGGAAGAAAAGAAAAGTTTTTGAGGCGGACGGATGGTCACGTGCATGGGTTTGCACTGTTTATACTGACTTCCTCGAATAGGAAACAACATCACACCCGAAGGCTGAGACCATGCGCTGTCGTTTGACGTCTTCCCTCCACATCTCACAGCTGTCATGCACCATGAATTGGACAGGCGGCCAGCTGCAGCGAGGTTCTTACCGCTCAGGCCTGCTGACAAAAGCCCAGAAGCAGAATTTCGCCAGGTCTCGATCAAATGCGAAGGGCACGGCCATTCACCCGCCTTCTCCATTTCGCAACTTCCCTGGTTCTGGACCATGGAAGGGCTTGAGCGCAAGTGATAGAGGTGCTGAGACAAATACAGGAGATCAGTTAGTCAAGTGCTGTTGGTTGCTTTGTCTTGGCTATCCTGATCTATGTGTTTTATACTGACCTGATTCTTACTGAAAGGCCCGCAGTGGAGCCAGCTTCACATTCACATGAAGAATCTACATCTAATATTGGAACTGGGTTGAGCAATAGCAAACGCCAGCTCCTCAAAGAGCCTGACTGGGGTGCTGTGTCTGCGACTCGTCCCCTCGAGCTCGCCTTTACAAGTGTTGAGGAAGTTGAGCGGTTTGGAAAGCGGCGCAGGCTGAATGACAACGACAGAAGGCGACTGGTGGCAGCTAAGGACAACAGATCTACATTTTTCGAGCTCCCCAAATATCCACGGAGAGAAAGACACACGTCCTCGATTATCGATACGGGCGAAGACATTCAGATCCAAATCAACGGACGACCGGTTGGTACGCATGTCAACAACAGCTCAGGGGCGGGCATGTGTAGTCTGTCATCCCAGTCAATGCTTCTCGATCATGAGGGTACTGCTGTCTCCGAACAGGAGGAGAAAGAAAATTTGACGTCCACCTGGATCACCAATTTATTTCCCCCAATCCCAGTGAGAGCCTTCCGGGATTAAAAATAAATTTATTTCTCCCAGAACTTGTCATTATATGCCAGAGCCTGACACATCTAATGGACAGGAATGAGCTGACCATTAAACCCACATTTATAGTAGATGCCAAGGGATATATACTGTCAACCAACTCATGCCAATAACGATGCCCGCTCCCGCTTTGAATAAAATTCCTGACTAACACTCGTGTCTCTTGCTGGCCACCTATTATTAAGTCCGTAGCCCTAAAGTTCGCTCGTGCCTGTGCCTGAATATCCAACGACTGTATGCGGTCATCACATGACCTCATTCCCCATACTAACGTCATCCCGAACCAACCATCTCCAACATCACAGGTATCAGTTCCTGCAATCATTTCACCATGCGTTCCATCCCAATCCTAGCTTCACTGGCAGCCAGTGCCCTCGCATCTGCACTGCCACCGAAAGTCACAGACACTGATAGCACCCAGCTCCCCCTCGTAATCTGGCACGGCCTCGGGGATGATTTCGAACGTGAAGGTCTGAAAGAAGTCGTCGAATTAGCCGAATCCACAAACCCAGGGACATACGTGCACCTGATCCGACTCGCCGAAGATGGCAATGGAGATCGCCAGGCAACCTTCCTCGGCAACGTCACGGAGCAAATCGCCTACGTCTGCGACCAGCTCGCCGCAGACCCAATTCTTCGCACCGCGCCCGCCATCAACGCGCTAGGCTTCTCGCAGGGCGGCCAATTCCTCCGCGGCTATATCGAGCGCTGTAACGCCCCGCCCGTGCACAACCTCGTCACATTCGGCAGTCAGCACAACGGCATCTCGGAGTTCCAGTCGTGCTCGTTGGGCGACTGGCTATGCAGTGGAGCCGAGGCACTGCTTCGATCCGGTCGGTGGACGAACTTTGCGCAGTCGCGCGTCGTGCCGGCGCAGTATTTCCGCGATCCTACGGACATGGAACAGTACCTCGAATACAGCAATTTCCTGGCCGATATCAACAACGAGCGCGAGTTCAAGAACGAGGATTATAGGAAGAATTTGATGTCTCTGAATCGATTCGCGATGTTCATGTTTGAAGAAGATACTACTGTTGTGCCGAAAGAGAGTTCGTTCTTTGCCGAGGTTAATGGTACCACCGGTGAAGTGACTCCTCTGCACGAGAGGCCCATTTACAAGGAGGATTGGTTGGGTTTGAGGGTTCTCGACGAAGAGGGGAAGTTGGACTTTAGAACTACTCCTGGGCAGCACATGCGGCTGACCGAGAAGGTGCTGAAGAAGACTTTCGAAGAGTATTTTGCTCCGTTGAAAGGAGAGCAGAGTACTTCGTCACCTGGCCTTGTTGTGCAGCGTGCTCACTAATTGATTTCTATCTCATCGGCGTTTTTACTACATGATATCCCAACTGCAATACTGTTTTATTAGCATAAAGTCGAATGGAACAAGTGTCACAAAAGGCTAATTACTTATTAAATGAGAGGACCTGTCGCTGACGGCGAGAAAGAAAGTAGGTAGCAAAAGGATGAGACACCGCATCAAACACCATAGAATCATGAAAACTCCTTAATAGGCTTAGATCTTCTCGATCTGGTGAAGCTAGGATTTGTTTGCGACGAGAGATCTATCAAATCTCTTTCGTCGTATAAAGGTTCGATAATGTTGAGGAATCTTTCCTTAGAATATAAGGGAATAGAAGTTACAGTGCTCAAAGTAGATATCGGCTAGCTTGCTGGTGGCTTCTCTCCGGGGTATAGAGGGTAAAGGGTCCGACAAATCCGCTAGCAGTGAATGGCCGTTTGGTTTCTTCTCCGAGGATAACCGTGTCTATGGTTCTGACAGGAGGCACTAGAAAACGATTGCGGTTGCATGCAGTTAGTCGCAATCTGGGCATTTAAATCAGACCCTTCTTCCCCGTGAGATGATGCTGACACGCTAGTCTCTAGAATGGTAGGGGAAAACAGATGAGGTTCTGTTGTGTTCTCATTGACTCGAGCAAGTTGCGCTTCCAGGGAAGCAATGCGATCCTCGAGACCTTTAACATAGCTAGGTCCATGTCAATCAATTGTTATCATCAGTTTGGCCAAGGAGTATAACCTTCTCGGGACAACTCCGCCATCTATATCGGTGTTCACGCAGAGAAGTATACGTTCTGTTCGCTCACCTCCGATGTTATCATTAGCGTACTTTTGGCTATACATCTACTGATGGATGCATATCTGCTCGAAATACACTACACATGCCGTAGTTAAATATCTTTTCAATTTAGCATCTATATTTTGTACTGACAGGGTAGCTAGATACAACAACAAGTTTCTTGTCAAAGGCAACCTGCACCGACAACATAATGACGAAAGCCCGACCTTCCAAGATAGACATATGTAGAAAGGGAAAAGACAAGAATAGAATATCACTTGACGAAAAAGAAGTACATGTACCGACAGAACAGAAATGAAATATGCCAGACCGGTGGGATTGAAAGAGCCAGCACGTCCACGCCAGATGAACCCAGATACAAGATCCATCATGGGCAGGCGATGCGGGGAATATCACAAAAGAAAATTATATATAAACATATGAATCAGGGAAAGGAAATGGTAGGTGAAATTCCTGGAGAATCATGCTTATCGAATTGACAGTACAGGAAGCAGCAAACGAAAAATCAATAAGGTGGACGTCCGAGGCCACCGCTGACCTGTCGTTTGCTTGAACTTCTACCCAGTGGGCCCTTGGACCCAGAGATGGCGGTTGCTGGACGAGTCCCATTTGTCACTGTGCCGTCGTCAGGCGAGAGGAACCCATCGAGGAGTCTCCGCAATTGATCTTGGTGACTGCCATCCAGGGAATTGGATTCATAGTCATTCATCAGTTCTGGGATTTTAGAGCCGGCGAGGTTGTTACTAGAACGGCTCTTATTGCGGTCCAAGGACTTGGGGTTGAGAATACCAGAAGCTGCATCAGATTTGTCTTTCACTGAAGACTGTCGCGAGGGACCTGGCGCAGTGGATGGGCGATCGTATGAGATCAATGATCGCTGGGAGTCATTGGGGAAACCTCCTGGGATTGACAAGTTGACGGGGATCGGTGGTACGGGGGGTATTTGCTCGTCTGAATTCACGCGACTCAGGGAGGGTGCGTTGAGAGGTTGGTCGGAGGGTTTGTCGCCCGACAGGACAATTTCTGCTGCCGAAGCGCGGGGTGTCTCTGCGCCATCGCCGTCAGGTGTTTGTTGGCCAACTGGCAGTTGGGCGGAGACACCGTCGCCCATCTCAGAAACAGAGAAGGCACCGCTGACCATACTATCACTTCCAGAGGAGATGATACTGGCATCTGATGCGTCAAGTCGTCCACGCAACGGGCTGAGTCGCCGAGCGTGAGAATCGTTGGTGACTGAGAGCACGCGACGAAGCTCATTGACGCGAACAGGAGACCCCCTGCTCGAACTATAAGATGACGAGGCAGAAATCTCGGGAACGTTCATACGGTGGTTGTCGCGGAAGCCCGAGCCAGCAGGTGAGCCATTTGCTACTCCGTTGGTTTGGTTGTTGTTGCGAGTATTGAGGGTGCCGCCTCGAGAGCCATTGATAGATAGGGCGTTGGCGCTTTCCTTTTCAACATCTGCCAAGCAGGCCTCGCGTGACCATGGAGACAGCAACTGATCCCTCACGGGAGACGGGAGGCCACAGTCGACCTGTGATTGAGCGGTCGCATGTCCAAGAACTGGGAATGTGAATCCTCTTGCGGGTGAGGTTGGCGGGCTTTGTGGGGGAGATGAGATTGACTGGCGGTAAGACTCGTCAATCAAAGAGACAAGTCCCTCAACATTACGGAAGGGTGTCAACGGAGGCGGAGAAGTGGAGTCGTTGACGTCTCTCTTTTCTTTATCGAAGTCAATACCACCGAGGCCAATTGGGGGCACCCGGATCTTGGAGAGCCAGTATCCCTTGTCCACTCGTTGCTGGATTTCCTTGGTGATTTCAGCTCCAACGGGGGAGGTGTCCATTTCAAACTTCTCTGACAGTGCGAGAAGGTAGCCGTGGACCAAGCTTCCGGTGTTGACGCGAGCCGCAAAGGAGCTCAACTCAATAGAAGTAAACATGTCTTCTTGTAACTTGAGGATCATGGGGAACCCAAATTGAGCAGCGTTCACTCCAAGGTTCTGTACAAGATTTGTCAGAAGCAGATGGAGGAGGAGTACCTCGGATTCGTCAGTGGCTCCTTCAAGAGCAGCATCGTAGATCGCCAAGTGCAGCAGACGGAGGAAGTTCGATTGTGCTGCTAGCGCCACTGTTTCTCGCTGGTTCCCAGGAGCCGAAGTGCTTCGGCGATTTTGTTTGTCGATCTGCTCGGACTCTCGCTTCGATCCTGTTTTGACGTATCTCCGTACATCTACTCGTGCTTTGAGGTCGTTCTTGTTGGTTTCAAAGGTCAACCATGAGAGGAAAGCGTCGGTGTAGGCATAGCGAACACCCCGGTCTGCATCACGCAAGAGACCTTGGGTGCCCTCCCACACATGAATGCCGACTGGGTGTCTGGATTCCGCCCCGGACATGGTTGATGGCGTCCTGAGATTAGCCACGACCAATATGGACTTGACTGCTCGAAGAGCGGTCAGTTTCGCGGCGGCATGTGAAAAGGTTTCTGCTGAGGCCCTGTCTCCATTAGATTCCGAGGCGGAGTTCGAGTCAACGTGTGCAACCCCGGACTCTTGAACGGTAGCCAAGGCAGATTGTGCAGAGCTATCATGGAAGGAAGCAGGTTTAAAGCGCCTGAGGATCGCCCGCATCATGTCAGCGACTTGGTCGCCGTAGTAAATATGCGTTGCGAGGTCTCCAATACTCTGCTCCAGGAGTGTGAGAAGATCCCGTCTGTGGGAGGAGATAACCATATCGATCGGACCATTAGGCTTCCTCTCTGAATCTGCAGACCCAGCATGATCCGGAGGGGAAAGTATATCGGAAGCATAGTGCATGAGACCAAAAAGAATATCAATGACGCTGAGACCAATCATGTTCACCGAGGATCTGAGCAACCAATCCACCACAGAGAGAATGGTGAATGCCGACCCCAGGGCTTCCTCCTTGGGGCTTGTATCGTGCAAGATCTCCATAGCCGTGATCAAAATGATAAAGCGGACCTGCACCGGACACCAATTCGCAATGAGTTCGATCAAAGAGGTGGCCCAGTTCCCGTTCTTGGCCGAGCTTAATCGATTCTGCTTTTCACTCTGCGGGAAGCCCTTCGTCGATACGAAGCGTAGAATGACCGTTACCGCGATGCGAATCTGACCGCGATTGCTCCCGGAGACGATAATCTGCTCGAGGCAGCGCAGGGCCATGAGCCGAGCGTCCATCTCTGCCTTTCGATCTGCATCGTCCGCAGACCGTGCTGCGAGCTCGGGATCGCCCTCCGCTGTGTCCACAGTGTGCACGGTGTTGACACTCATGCGGCGAGGTTTGGGTCCATCCCGTTCATTCGTGTCAGCTTCTTGTAGCTTGGCCTTGAGTGTCGGGATCAGGTCCTCATCGCCGGAGTACAGGTTCTCCAGAATGATTGGTAGACACAGCTTCAGCGAAGTGCCACCATCAGCAGCAAGGCTCTCTGAGCTGACCACGCCCCTGATAGCTCGCAGTCCCGCGTTTCTCCACCGAATGGCTACTTGCGGGCTGAATTTTGTATTAGGGTTGGAAACAAAAGCTGGATCGGCTAAGCTGGCGTATGTCCGAACGACTTCTCGGTACTGGGAAGCAAGCCCCTGGTCCGCCGCAATGGCCGAAATGTCCTGATGCCGGCAGAACATTTCAAAGGGCACAATTGATTCCTCCACCATAGTTATGTCATTCGAACGCAGGACAGTCTCGATCACAGTCATGACAGAACGCGCGTAGATGGGAAGATCGCGGGGGACTTTTTCGATGAGGGCAGCCAGGATATGAAGCGCCACCTGGACATTTCTGTATTGGAATCAGTCAGTTCTTTTCAAGCGCGATATTTCTTGACTCGGCCTCTGCTCACCCTAATCTGCGTCTCCAGACATCCCGGGCCACTCTTTTCTCCAGGAACGCGCCGACCTTGGTCAGCTTACTGCGGCGCGTGCTGGTATAGTACAGCAGGTACGAGAGTTCACTTGGATTCGGCCGAACTTCCGCCACCCCCTTCTGGTATTTCGGATAGCATTTCAAAGTCAGGACCTGGTGCTTGGGCCGGCATGACTGGCGTACGGACTCCATTGGAAGAGTATGGGTGACGCATACAGCTCCCGGGTGGCGGACTCGAGAAAGGCGCGAGCTTCACGATGGTCTTAGAAAGGGAGATTGATCGGTAGGATGAGGTTGAAGAGAGTGTATAGGGTCGGATTGCCATGGGAGGGTAAAACGTTGTCAAAAGTCGCAACGTGGACGTGAACGGGAACCGATGAGGTAGTTCAGGGCCGATCACCAGGGGGTGGGGCTAGCTATAACCCCAAGAAGTGACTGAAGAATGGGCGAATATTAAGAGAAGAGATACATGACATACGTGAAGGATTGATGATGAAGACTTGAAGACATTCAGGAGAAGGGTAAAAAAAAAACAATGTTCGGATTGTTCGGGCTGGACACTAGCCCAATTCTACTGTACTGCGTCATGTCTCTTTTGCTTATATTATATTCTTCTATTGCTCGGTTTTGGGATACAACACGTTATTCGCTAGTTGCTGTTGATCCTCAGAATTGAGGCTATTATTCTATTCGTTCCAGGTATGAGTGCGATTTTAGCGAGGTACAGGTATGAGGTATGAGGTATGATGTACGAGTAAGTAGGGAATCCCGCATCCCAACAACGCTTGGTCCTTTTCCCACCCCGCAATCCAGTCCCGTCAGGGGTGAGAAGCTGTGATGCTCGAAAACGATGTTGGTTGATCGACGGTCGTGGAGCCTCGGTCGCACATGAACCTCGTGTGCACTCCCCGCAGCCGTGTGGGCTGTAGCTCAGCCGACGGTAAAGGCTCTTGTCCAAGTACAGTGTAGTGTAGATCCTCTGTGGTTCGGTTGGCTTGGTTGGTTCGTTTTGTATGGTTTGCGCTCAAACAAGCACACCCTGGTCGCATGCGCAAGATCCTCCATGAACATAGGTTCAGGGCTTGCAGCAAACCATCAGGTCTTGGTCCCATCCTGGCCATCGTGTGGCTTTTCCTCTGCAGCTTCTGTCTCAGCCTCGGCCTGCACAGGTTCGATAGGCATGCTCAGTCCGGCCAGCCCTTCAATGACTTGCGGGAGAATGATGTCGCGGCGGAACCTGTCCTCCTGCAGCAATCGCAGGGCCCGTAGCGTGGGACCAGGGTGTGTAAGGAACTGGGAGTACTCCGGTGTCTTCCAGTAAGAGTAGAGGTAGGCTAGGTAGGCTGCAAATGCCTGGGCGTCTGGTGAAGTAGCGGAGTCGTCATCGTCGTCGGCATGGGAGATGCCCAAAAGATTAGGGTAGGTAACAGCAAGGTGAGAAAGGTAGTAGGGGTTGGCGAGAGAAGAAACAAATTCCAACTCAAGAGTAAAACGCGGGTTGGTGAGGGTGGGAGGCTCCATGGTGAAGGTGAATGTCGGAAGCTCAAGTCGCGAAGGGACTGCGGGAAAGGTGGAGCGTGGTCAACCCTCAACTTACATACGGTACACTCTTGCACTTTTACTCCCTTCTATCTTTTTCAAGAAAAAGACAACAATGCCTTGATAAAGATATCAACTGAAAGGAAAGAGAACTGAATAAGAACACAGTGGCCGAGGACATATCTCATTCATATGGTTTATACTTCGTGCAGCGGCTACTCTTTGCTGTCATTCACTTCAGCACATTGCGATGTGATTTCAAAGGCGCTTACGCCTTGAAATCACTTGTTGATTGTTTGGGATCTTGTGAGGAACGGACTTGGAATGTAGATGGTAGAAATCGATGTGTATGGGAAGGGCCTTTCTTAAATATCCCTCTGGGCAAGCAGCATATCTATGAATATCTATAACAGAGGAATATCAACATCGTATTACGGGATTGAGCAGTCTCTCTGGGCGCCGAGTATTGTCTGAGATACGATCCACCAGGGTTTGAAGGGGTGTCCAACTGAAAGGGAATCTGACTTACGACAAGCTATCATATCTGAGGACTCTCATGGAGGGTAATAGAACGACTCAGCCCATCAATTAAGTCACCTGGGTGTATTTGCACCGCAGTGCTTAACTGGAATGAAAGAGCTAGTGCCCAAGCGCCAGTACAGTCTGTAAAGGACGTTGGACACTTTACAGAATCCGATATTAAAGAAGGGTTGAGCGGTACTTAATCCTCGGGGTTTACAGATGGAGATTGACAGATGTTGGAGTCAACTGATTTAATTATCTCATGCGAAAAGAAAAAGAGGAAAAGAGCAATGGATAAAGAATACAGATTCTCAAAGCAGGGCTCAAAAGAAGTACAAGAAGGGAAGAAAGACGTAAAAAATAGGAATAAAACTCCGAATCATGACCCGATCCTCGACTGGGCGTGGCGTTTCATGGCGTCCTGAAACCAGAACCGGTGTCAAGTATTCTCTTTCAGTTCAAATTAACGCCATGGGGAGCACTGCTGTTTTGCAGTACTCGATGCTGGATATTACATGAGAAATCATCACTCCTCACGGAGGAGATGGCGACGGGGAAAAGCAAAAGTAGGCCGCACATTGTCAAGTCAACCTAAGGGTTCAGGATGACGCACGGCGTGCCCAATGATACCTACTCGAAGCAGGTAGAAAAGCGTTCGTTAAGAGTTCAGTCGCTGGTGCGGCGCTCGGGCTTTGGCTTGCGCAAACTCTTCATGCGGTTCAGGAAACCGCCACCACCAGGGTTGAGCTTGGATTCTTCATATGCTCGCTCATGGGTTGCCTTACGCTCCAAGCCGGTATTCTGCTTGGGGCTGCTGGAAGATCGGAGACGGCCGCCCTCAAGACGAGACTCGACGCTGGCACCCTTCTTGTCCCACTCCTCATCGTCATCTTGGAAATATGGGTTGCGCTCATTCCCTCGGGAAGATGCAGAGTGGCTGGATTCGATTGCTGGAGGGTAGTTGTTGTCGGTGGGAGATGTGATACGGCCGGGGCCTCGTCCACGCAATCGCTGGGCCAAACTCTTCTTCCGTGCAAGACCACCGTTCTGTCCCATCGAAGTCTCGTTCTCGCTTTGGCGGCGCGCCATGGCAGACCGACTGGCCGGGGCGCCATCGAGGAAAGTACTGGTACCCAGTCCCATACTCTCTGATCCATGAACGGGCTCTACACGAGCGGTGGGATCAAAATTGTTGCCTGAGTCGGCATTGCGGCGGGCTGCCGTAGCAAAGTCATTGTGACCCTCTTCCATCCTGCCGTGGAAAAGGTCGAGGTCAATGTTGGAGTTGTTGGGGCCGGCGCCGCCCAGAGCCATGTTAGTAGAACCCTTGGGGAAGGCCTGCATGGGCGCGGTGCGCAGGCCTCGGCGGTTGCGGTGGGGGTTGCAAGCATCGAACGGACCATCGTGGTGGAACACTAGGATTACAATTAGTATACGAAGGTGGAGGCTGGCTCGGACTCTTGAATACTCACTTCCCGTTCCATAGATGCTAGTCACATCCAGCTTATCAATGATGTCAAGTCTGCGGTCCTTGCGGGTGGAGCGAGACTTGCCATCCTTGTTGCGACTCTCGCGCTCACGGTGGCGTCTCTCACGTCGGCGCTTCTCGTCTTCATCGTCGAAAATGGTAGAGGCCCGGTCCATCACAGAAGACTCAGAGTTCCGGCGCGGTCTGCGCGAGGGTCTGTCGCGGGGGCCCATGGTCGCGGCCTTGTTCAAGCTAGGAGGGTCTGCGAAGATGTCAAGCGGGTCTTTCTCCTTTGGCCCTGCCGATCGCCCGGGCGGGCGCTGGGGTCGGTTGCGATTTGAAGGGGTGCGGTGGGTGGTGTTGGGAGGTGGGCGAGAACGAGGCGGTTGAGGGGCAGGTTTCAGTGAAAGATTCTCCTGCGATATGTTAGATCTGGCTCCATCACGTCTCGAAAGGTCAACTTACGAAGAGCTCACGGGTGTTGCTGGAGATGTCGGTCTTCTCGACCGGTGAAAACATGGTCGCGCCTGTAGACATTCCGGGAGCTGATTGCGGCGACATCGAATCTGCGTCGTCAAGGAAGGGGTTGGTTGATCGTGGTCGCTCTGGGCCACCGTTGGATGCCACAGGAACCGAGGGTGAGAGAGCACGGTTGCGGAAGGGATTGTTGGAGCCAAAACTGGCCGCAGTGGGAGATGATTGGGGTTCTGTTTACAGTCAAGACGTTTCGAGTCAGTCACTCTGAATGTATCCCATAAAGTTGCTGGGGGGGAGGGGGTTATAGAGGGAGTTATATGACCCAGGGGGAGCATTACGTACCTGCCAGCGAGACGCCGGGATACCCAAGCGCTGGAGCGGCATTCATTGTGAGGTTATCACAATGAAACAAGGTGTGTGTGGAGAGAGAGTGCGTCAAGTGAGTCTTAGGGTGTCGCACGAATGCGGCGGAAGGTGGCAGGAGGTGATTCTGAAACGGCGGGCAGGGGTCACAGTGGAATGACAGTTGATCACAGCCAATAGATCCAATAGTTATCCTCAGATCGAAGACTTCAAAGTGTTAGGTTAGTTAAAGAAATTAAAGGAAGAAAGAAAAAGAAGAAGAGGAAAGGAGGGGGGCAAGGGGACGGGAGAAAGGGGATCGGCTTGGGAATTACGGAGTACTCCTGGCGATCTCCCCTTTCCAACACTCTACTATACATGTACAAGTGTGTACAGTATCTGTGGCGCTTGAGTTAAATCTCCTGCATTTGAAGCTAACTGCTAATGTTCTTCTGCAGCATCTCGACTCTAACTTCAGCATGTGCCAGGATCGACGGGGTTCCACCCTAGGCATCAAGTTACTGTACTCTCTCACCACTGTCACTCTCACTGTCACTCCAAAGTATCTGAGATTCTTCGGCTACCAAAAATAGGCCGGCATGACGCATCCCTTCCGACTTCCCTGATGTCATTCCCCTTCCGGAATGTGGTGATCTATACTTTCCACGCGAGATGTTCAACCTCCACATCTCCAATGTCGGGCATGTACACTGCCGAAGGGGCAACAAACGTCATATTCAGGCTCCCACTCCGGTCTACCAGCTTTAGAGCCATGTGCCTCAACATAGCGGTGACGGGATCTATCCACGCAATCAAGTGTAGCCCGGATCAAGAGCATGGCGGATGCAGTCCCATTAGAATTATGACCAGTCCGATACTCTGTTCGAGACACGCGCTGATATGCACTATTTGTCCAATGTCTCTAGCTTCTAGATCGAGGCACATCCGTCGAGAACGGAGAAGGTATCGAACATTCCTCAGTGTGGAATGCGATCTGAAATGAGGTGACCTCATCGCAAGCTCTGTTATTGATAATGGGATATCTACCTTGGTACCTGGGGAATACAAGCTGTGTGGATTATGTATGAGTTAAACCGCACTATTAACATGACAGGTCCACACCCCCTAGCTTAACGCTTTCCCCCCACAATCCCAAGGCCAAACTCAGAAAACATTAGTAGACCGGCATTGGGACGCCATTAAAGTCATAGTGCCATGTGTCGATGGAGGTCTGATCGTACTCGCACTCCATCTTGTTTCCCTTCCACTTAGGCCGAAGGGGCCAGCCACAGATCTGGCGGTTCTCTCCAACATTCTCGCCTTGAAGGACAGTCGCATTGAGCGTCACGGGCTTCACATCCTTCTCAACCCAATTGATGAGAACTTGCAGGTTCGTCTGCGGGAATGGGCCATTGGGCATAAGTGGGTTAGTACCGCAATGCGCCGCACCAGGAACAAGGTAAAGCTGATACCAATCCTTGAGAGCGGCGGCCCCCTCCTTGTAAGAAAGATTGGGGTACATGATGCTCCGGACAGACTCCCAGTATCGAACTGAGGATGCAGTAGGAATGCTGGCATCTGCCTCGCCGTGGAAGTGGATGACCTTGCCGCCAGCCTCATGGAACGGCGTCAGATCGGGCCAGTTGGTCTGTAGGGTAGAGGCAAACTCCACCATGCCGGAGATCATCCATTCCTTCAGAGTGTCGTAGGTCACGCCGTCGAGATTGGAAAGGTTGGTGCCGTTCTTCTCCACCAGAAGGGCAATGTGCTCGCCACCCAGGCCATCCACTTCAAGCTCCCATTTGCCGGTTTCGGAGTTGTACTGAGTGGTCACATCGTCAAAGTCCGCAGCTGTTTGATATGACAGGTAAACTTGTCTACCCTTGGTATCACGAAGACCGCGAATAACCTCCTTGGCAACCTCGACGGCTTTTGCGGTGACAGTTCCATTCTGTTCTGGAGTGGATGAAGCACCCATCTGCCTCTTGCGCTTGCCATATCCGCTGCTAGTGGATGCCGCACAATAGTATGGCTTGCCAACAACAGTGTTGATATCAAAGTGCAGTTGACAAAGATCAGAGCGAGAAACCACGCCATCCTTCAAGCCATCGAGAGAATCACACGCCGAGATAGTCTCATTGATGATCTTCTCCATTTCACAAGGCGGAGGATAGTACCCCAGAGTCTTCGTAACGATATTCGAATAAAGATGCTGAGTCTGCTGGAAAGACCAACGGAAAGCAGGGGCACCAATAGCAGCACCATCCCACTCATCGCCATACCGTTGAATCTGACTCCAACCCTCACGACCACCCTCCGAACAACCCTGGTAATAAGAGTAGAGCTTAGTCTTATCAGCCATACCATAAAAATTCCGCGTCAACTGCTTCCCAATCTTGCTTAACTCCCAATGAGCCTTGTACCCAAACATATACAACGTCTCATAATCCAACGTCCCATTGGCAAGGAGCATGGCCGCATCAGCATTCGTAGAAAAACTCCCAAACCCACCATCCGTAGCTCCAGCAACAGCACCATACATCACACCACCAGGCAGGGACTGCGCACCAGAGTAAATGGCATAGCCACCGCCGCCAGTAGACAGATACCTGTTCTCGAACTTGCTCGGGTCGGGCAACCAGTATTGGATGAGGACTTGGTCATCCCGGCCGTCATGGGTGTATGCCAAAGTGAGATTGCAGTACGAGAAGGTTGCTGCAGGGTAGAATGTCGAGGTCGCGCTAGTAGATGCATTTTTGACTATGTTTGTCGTGACGGAAGACTGGTCGAGAGTTATTCCTTGGATGAATGTCGATGCGGGTAGGTGGGACCGAGCATATTCCACAGTGCAGACGTCCTCGAGAGAAGCTGCTGTCACTGCTGTAGCGTATGCAATGGCAGCGAGGGCCGCTGCCTGGGGATTGGAGGGAGAGAAACGCATTGTTGGACCCGTGGAGCCCTAGTAGAGGAAGAGGATTGTAATTGATGCTGTCTGTCTGCAATACTGCATCCTCCTGGGTATTTATAGTCCAGCACCAAGCTCGCTTGAAGCGAGCTCGTAGCCCCGCGTCTCTCGATTAGTCGGCGCATGAATTGCATGGACCGGCTAATACGTGGGGAAAGCACGATATGACAGCTCCATGTACCGACCCCGGATAATCGAACAGAGCTTCATGCGCCGGGCAAATGGATCTCCACAGTAGACGCGGGGATAAGCTTCATGAGTGGGATAGTGGGGATGTGGCCTGGGGTTAAGGGGTAATTGAAGCAATTGTTAGGCTTTCTCACACAGACTAATCTCTCTTCAGCGAGGCTGGAGACCAGACGACAATACCGGGCCAGGGTTTGCGGGGGAAACTACCACATTTGCATATCCGAAATGACAAAAGGACGATGGTCTGTAGCGAATTGGTGGCTCTTCTGGGGTCCGGGGAGGAGTATAGATGCAGGTGCGGTGATGGTTATTGGTCCTGGTAAGGTCTTTTCCGCTGCCCTAACTGTTTTACAACTGGGGCCGCGAGATCTTCATCATCGTGTGAGTTCTATGGGGATAACTGCCATTTTGGACATAAGCTCCTTGGTAATCTCCGAGTTTGGCATGTTAGTATGTGCTGTTGTTTTGAGGGTTTGGGATACTTCGAATTAGGGCGGACTACAAATGTGGTTTCACCCACCTCATTTCCTTTATTTATACGTAGTGTGGAGACTACAGGATACATTGAACATTTGCATACTCCTCAGTAAAGTGCCTTTGCGTTAGGTCTTTACCCGACACGGGTCCTAAGAAGTCATTGCGGAGAAATAGTGTAAAGTCAATGGTACAAGCTCTTTAGCATATCTCATTGTCACCTGAATCAATTTGCATCTCTTCCCTACTCAGAGTTCAATAAAACTACCTCCAAGATCTCACTCTGTGCCTTGCCTTTAGCAGGCAAAAATGACTCGTCCACTGGGGCTTGTTGGCAACTAAAGAGATATGAGTTGTTGAAGATCGGGCGGGTGGTGAATCTAGGTCCAGGTCAAGTTGACTTTCAGATGGACTCCGCCAGAGCCTCCCCTTCGTCTATCCGGTTTTGGTGTTAGGCAGCTCATGTTGCCGAGCTAGGTGCGGAAAAGGGTTGTCCTGGCGGAAACAGCCTATATCTTTTTGTCTGATATTATTCTATGCATTAGGACAAAGAGAAAGAGCATGACTGAGAGCCTCCGTCTACTGATTTACAGTCTAAGCACCGAATATAAAATTGGAAGATCATTCATTGGTTTCCCATTCATTAATTTATCATGGTTCGATTTCAAGAACAGAACCCTGTCATAAACGCCGCATACGTGAAATGCAAACAAGATGGTATTGAACAAAAGAAGCCATGCAACCAGCCGCGCCTAATCTCCAGTTAGGATGTTCACCGCACAGTGGACTGAGCCCGTGGCAGGTGAGGGTTTGTGACGGGGATACCAGCACGACGCTTGGACTGGGGTTTGGGTCTGGAGAGTGTGTACCTGATAGGAATGTTAGCATAGTTCCAACGAGTTCAAGGATTGGGAAGAAACATACTTGGCAAATGCACGTGAGAGTGCCTTCTTGCAGCTGACCTTCTGGCTGCCAATGAACGAATCCACAGTAACAGCGATGGCACGGTCGATATCCTGCGCAGAACAGTACTCGGACAGGCGCATCTTGCAGAAGGATTCGGCAATACGCATGATAGCTTCAAGGTGACGAACCTGGGAATATAAGTAAGCATGATGTCAACGTAAATTGTATAAAGATAACTTACTGTGATGGGGTACGCTCCAGTGGCAAGGGACTCGCGGCGCATGTCGGCGAAGAGACGTGCGACCTTGTCCTGGTCGATCTGGTAGAGCTTGGGGTTGCAACGCTCACGGGCGTACTTAATGTACTTCCGCAAGAGCTCTTGGGGGATCTCGCCCTCCTTTTCTTCCTCGGCCCTTTGCTTCTCTGCTGCACGTCTGGACACCTCCTCTTGGGAAGGAGGCAGTCGCTGGCCATCTTTGTTGATGCGGTAGCCCTCACCGTCAATGAGATGGCCGTCAGCATCGACCATCTTGCCGTCCTCATTTCGGAGAGGACGAGCCGGGTTAGCACGGTGGTGGGACTCGATCACGAAGTTGGCTAGGCGCTCATCCTCAGCAGGATCAACAAGATCACGGACAACACAGAGTAGATCAAAACGAGACAAGATGGGGTCCGTTAGGTCGACATTCTCCGAGAAGGGAATTGAGCTGTTGTACCGACCACCCTTGGGATTGGCGGCGGCCACAACGGCACAGCGTGCCTGCAACGTTGTCACAATACCAGCCTTGGAGATAGAAATTGTTTGCTGTTCCATGGCTTCGTGAATAGACGTCCGATCCTGGTCGTTCATCTTGTCAAACTCATCAATCAAACAAGTTCCACGATCAGCCAACACGAGGGCACCACCCTCAAGAGTCCATTCGCTAGTGAGGGGATCCCGACGGACACTGGCTGTAAGACCGACTGCACTAGCACCCTGCCCAGTAGCGAACACAGCACGGTGAGCTGTCTTCTCCACAAACTTGAGCACCTGAGACTTGGCAGTACCGGGGTCACCAAGAAGTAGAACGTTAATATCACCACGAATTGACATCTTGCCCTGGGCCTGCTTGCTGACACCACCAAAGAGTGAAAGTGCAACAGCAGTCTTGACGTCCAGGTGACCATAGATACTGGGAGCCATGGAGCGGATAATCTTATCCACAATATCAGGCTCGCGCGAGAGTGCGCGAATCTCGCGCTCATCCTCTTCTGTCAGGTGGAAACCAGCCAGCTGGTCGTGGGCCTTGACCACATGGTTGGCCTCAATAATAGTGGCAAAAACGGGGAATCCATTCTTGTTATTCAATTGGGCATCGTAGCTGTTGCGGTAAACACCAATAACCTCAATCTCATCGCCAGGCTTGGCAGTATCGATCAGATCTGCAAGCAGGACGACTTCGCGCTGGCGCGGCAGACGACCAGCGGGGACCGAGCCGGGCGACTCCTGCAGAGTCAACTTCTGGTAATTGCGGTAGACGGTCTTTTCGGAGTTGACAGTGAAGGGACCGCGAGACTGGCAGTTTTGACAGAACGAGATCTTCACTTCTGCGCTGGCTTCTTGCTGGAATGGTCCCAGGGTGATACCACACTTTTGGCAGAGAAACATAACGTATTTCAACTGCGGGAAAACACCGGTTCGACGAGTGACCACACCGCTGACGCGAATCAGACAGTTGAGATGCGACTGACGCAGTTGACGCAGAGTGTAAATGATTGGCACATCGGTGATGCGGACGTGGATTTCGTTGTGAATGTCGTGGTACTGGGGGTAGTGGAAGAGTGTGACATCAAGCGCCACCTGGTCGAACACCTTGAGGACTTCGGTGGGCTCGTTGGCGAGGAAATATGACAGAGCTGCCTTGGTTTCACTCAGATGGGCATAGGATACCTCAAGGGAAGCCGAGTTGACCTCACCCAGGGTCTTAATCCGATTACCGTAGACGGACTGGCCACTTGGGTCGATGAACTCTGTCAGGAAGGCCTTGAATTCACGGTAAATAGAGCGAAGAACCTGGGGCTGCGTCACCCAGTCCGTGATATTGGCTGCCTTGACATCAGCCAATTCCTCCAGGGAAAGTTCTTCCATGCCCTCATCAGCCATGTCGATATCTTCCCTGTCCTCATCATAATGATGTCTGCGTCGTCGGGGCTGGCGAGACAAGTCCATTTCAATATCATCGTCATCCTGTAAAAAGGCTGCAGGCATGCGGCGTCTGCGTGCCAATTCGCGGTCTCTCTGGTTCAGGCGAGCATCTAGCTGCCGACGGCTGGCGGCGTCAATCTCCTCGTGGTCTTCGTCGTCATCGATGTATCCTTCATTTTCGTAGCGGTCATGTGCTGCATCGCGGTAATCCCGCTCGAAGTTGTCGCCAAACAGGTCGATACCATCCTCGTCTTCGGCCAACTCATCAATATCATCAATATCCTGTACAAGCCCCGTTTCATCCTCCTCATCTTCATCTCCCATGTCAAAGGGAATTGGGGGAGGGGACGAGCCCAAAGCAGTGGCTGCGCAAAAAAATTGTCAGTCTCAAGTTGGCCCAGCAACGTGAACATGGGAGCAAGCATACGACTTGATGGAGGCAATGGGGCCGGCGATGACATATAATCATCTTCTCTGTCTCTCTTACGAGTGTTGGTCCTCAGGCCACGGTTTGCGGCCGAGTCGCTGGGTCGAAGCGGACTGCGGTGTGTTAGCATTCGGGACAGAGAATTCATAAGGGGCTACTGACTCCATTGTGTGTGTGCCTGTATGATTTCAAGCAATCTGCGATAATAAAAGAGAGGCAAGCACCAGGGAAAAAAGGATGATAGATAGGTGGTATCCTCCCTTGACTCTTGGTGGGTTGGATGTGGTGTGGCTGAGACGAAAGGGAAAGGGAGCGGCAGAGTTCAGTTCCTCGCGTCAAAATCGCGACGCGTCTAAGACGCGTTCCACTTAAGCCCTAATCGGGAAGGTGGGTAACCGTATTCTACAGTGCACCCAGGGTGTTATTCTCGAAGCATACTGGTTGTCCTATTCTTCTTTAAAAAAAAAGCCTTGGATGAAAATGGCAAGAATACACCTACCTCGAGACGATAGGACTACTTTCGAATGGCAAAAACATTGACCGACGCAGGGATCGAACCTGCGACCTTCCGTGCTCAACATGTAAGACGGACGCCTTAACCACTTGGCCAGTCGGTCAATAGGCTGACAAATATTATCTCCCATGATATATACCTTGAGACATGGAGGCTGTGGGACTGTTGTACTTCATACTGCGTTGTTTGCCCCATAGGGACTTAAATATCCTCGATTATCTTATTGTCTATTTCATTCTCTTCAAAGGACAGGATAAAGTGAAAATTTTTGGTGTATTTCTCTGTTGAGAGGCACTTCATTGTCCAAATAAGTGATAACGCGGTAACCGATAGTAGTAGAGGGAGTGTTTGGGCCTAGAGATTTTGCTTGAGATTATCTTATTCTTATAGCAATCATTGAAGCAAATAGATGTGAAATACATCAAGGCTAACCATATCCAACATGAGATCTAGTTATACATATACATCCTCTATGGGCCATTGCAAAAAGGGCAAACTAGGCAAACTTCTCGCGCATCAATGGAGTTGGCATATGATTGCGGCACTGAAGATTCACAAGGGATTGTTCGTACATTCAGTCTGATTCTTTCAAGGCTGTGCGATTCTCTATATACGAGTTGAAGCTTGATTTTGATCGTTTGCTACCCAACGTCTCTGGCAATTGCGGCCCTCCCATATTGACCGCGCCTCATCACGTCCGCGACGCCAACCTTATTCACGGTTGTCTGATCCTACGACACGCGATTTTTGGCTCCCACAACTTCGATCTTGCACACTAACCTTAAGCGCGACACTCAAACAGCATTCACCTCGTCATCAGTGCTCGCATCGTTCCTGACAACGCTCCACACAACCTACCTTGTTCACAACCTCGATTGTCCGCTCCACTCCGCGCCTCTCTGCTTCGCCGATATATCCCACTGTTTGCAATCACAACATTACCCTAATCGTGTCCACATCCCCAGGCTCGTTTGCCATCGATCGTGCGATCATTGCGCTTCCCGCACATTGCGTCATTCTGTTTTGCACGTCGCGACGGGCCACTCTCCTCGGCCCTGAGATATTGACCAGGTTCGGACAACATAAGCAGACCTCTGAAGATGGACTCCGTACAAACAGCGAGTGATCAAATCAAGGCTGAAGATGGCCGACGCGAAAGCTTCAGCTCCCAGAACTCGCAGACCGCAAGGCAGTATGGATCATTCCTCAATGTCTTCCAAGCCCTGTGATGACGATGCTAATCCACATCAGGTTTATTGACTCCCAGCTTCAACTAGAGGCCGATGCGCGCGAGGCTCTGCCTTATGTGAGCGTTCCACCATGAAGTCTCTCAGTGCAGCGTGGTAAATAGCTAACTTCTCGCATTCAGTCCTTCGATTCCTGCACATATGCCCTTGGGCCGTTACGACAGATCCTCTTCGCTTGCCTCACTTGCAACCCTCCTCCTGCCAATCCCGACGAACCCTACGATGCCGCTGCTGTCTGCTACTCATGCTCGATCTCCTGCCACGGTGAACACAACCTAGTCGAACTCTTCAACAAGCGCAATTTTGTCTGCGACTGCGGCACCACTCGCCTGCCTTCTTCTTCCACTTGCACGCTACGTGAAGATCCTAAGACTGGAAAGAAAGGTGTTCACTCTCAAGAGGCTGCTGCGGGCAACTCTTATAACCACAATTTCCGCAACCAATTCTGCGGCTGTGGCGAACAGTATGATGCTCACCAAGAGAAGGGAATCATGTTCCAGTGCCTGGGGATTGGCACCGTCGAGACGGGAGGCTGTGGTGAGGACTGGTGGCACCCAGAGTGTCTGATCGGTTTATCGCGCGATTGGCATAAGGCTGCACCCAAGGTCACAGTCGGTGGTGGTGACGCTACCGGGGATGCTCAGGACGAGGAAGAAACTCCGCTTCCACCTGGATTCCCCACTGAGGATGACTTCCATCATTTGATCTGCTTCAAGTGCGTTGACTCAAATCCCTGGATCAAGCCATATGCTGGAACGCGTGGTTTCTTGCCGCCGGTTTTCAAGGAAGGTGGATTGAAGGACACAAAGGTGGTAGCAAATGACTCCGCTTCCATCAACGAGCCCAAGGAAACCAAGTCCGACGAAACTGAGTCGAAAAAAATCCAGCCCAAAGAAACAGGGCCCAAGGAGCCAGCGCAGACGTCCTCAAAGAAGCGCAAGGCGGATGGCGAGGATCATCTTGAGGAAGATCACACTACGAAGCGGACCAAGGAAGAACCGGTGTCCACGGAAGAAGAAAAACCTGAACTCGCATCCATCAAAGAAAGATCAGTCAAGAAAGAGGAAGATACCAAGACTCCTCGGGTTCCCTCTGTCCCCAAACACACCACCCTCCCGGAAACCACGCCAACCGAGTCATTCTCCCTCTTCGCCCTGGAAGATTTCCACGACCAACTTTGCCGTTGCGCAGAATGCTTCCCCCACCTCGCACCTCACCCTCAACTCCGCGAAGAAGAAGATACCTACGAGCCCCCTCTTTCAGACGACGGCGAAGCCAACGGTGCCGCCAGCACCGGCACAGGCAGTATTCTCGAGCGCGGCGAGGCAGCCTTCAACAACATTGACCGTGTGCGCGCTATCGAGGGTGCAATGGCGTACAACCACCTCCGCGACAATCTGAAGGAGTTCCTGAGGCCGTTCGCTGAGAGTGGGCAGGCAGTTAGTGCTGATGATATCAAGAGTCACTTTGAGAAGCTGCGTGGTGATGATCAGGGGATTCGAGATGCTGCTGGTCATGCCTCTGCTGTTGGTGGTGGTGGTGAGGATAATGGTACTGATGGAGATGGTCGACGCGAGCAGAATGGTAAGTTATATCGATAACTGGTGTGCAAATTTCTGGCACTTACAACTAACTCTTTGTTTTCTGATAGGATATTGATTACGAATCTTGATGTATTTTACAGGGACTGAAGTTTCGGGTGTTGAGAATCTATTTATGGATGGGATATGTACAATTTTGTATGGATATGGGACTCGGGACGGGCAATCCAAATCGCTTATGACATTTATGGCGCATAATAAGGGACGAGAGGCTACATGATCTAGCAGACTTCGGAGATCTTGATCAATTGCATTCTTAGGCATTAAATGCATGTTTTCTATCAGCACATAGCCTCTGCGTCTCTTTTCCTCGCCTGTTGTTGCTACGGTCCATCTACTTGTTCCCGCATACATACTGTCACTACGCTTTTTGTAAAAGAGATGATATCTCATAATGCCCAGAATGGATTTCAACGTAAATCATAAACCCAACTTCGCTAGTACCTGAAACGCCGAAACTCAATATGTCACGTTATGGTGATGAAGATATCACGACCAGTCCATCACACGCTCTGAAAAAGACCAATGCAAATGTACAACAAAGAAAGTATATTATTCCTTAAGGCGTTTTGAGGCTCTCATCAACGAATCATCCGGTAGTCCACTGCGCTTGGTACCGGGAAGACTGCCAGTGCGGATATCGTTGTCATCTTGGCTGACCCGACGATGGGGGTATTTACCCTCGATACCCTCAAAGCAGTTACCGCTGATTGGGCCTCCATTGGCAAAGTAGGGGTGCTCGAGGGCCTCTTCGGCGGTGATCCGCTTTGCCGGGTCATATTCAAGCATCCGTGACAAGAGATCAAATCCATCGGAGCCGGGTGTACCAGCACTTGAGGTAGAATTGTACCCGCCATTTTTTAGGCAGCTCTGGTACCAGCCTTCGAGATTTGAGCCACGGTGGAAATGTGAAGGTTGTCGGTGGAGCACTAGAGACTGGAGCTGGGAATATTCGGGCATAGAGACCAGGCCCGGCCAGGATTCTTTGCGGGGAAGGCCAAGGATTTCGACAATCTTCATCATTTGATTGCGTTGGAAGGGGACTGTCTTTTTGCTGTCCATTTTGGCTTCTTCGCCCTTGAAAATTGGTCGTAGGGAGAGGAGTTCGGCGAAGATACAACCCACTGCCCACATATCCACAGCAGGAGTATAGTGGCGACTTCCCAGCAGTAGCTCTGGTGCCCGATACCATATTGTGACGACGACTTTGTCGCCGGAGAACAGTGAATTGAGTGGCTTGTAGAACAAACGAGCGAGCCCTAAATCGCCGATTCGGATGGCTCCGCTTGAGGTGACGAGGATGTTTGCTGGTTTTAAATCGCGATGCAGAACCCAGTTGGTGTGTAGATAAAGTAGCCCGTTCAGCAATTGGAACAGGATGGATCGGACCATACGGGCCGGGATGGCATGCCTTTGGGGTTGAGTGTGATGGTGGATGATCTGGAGCAAATCATGCTCCGTGTATTCGAAGACCATGAAGATGCATTTGTCTTCGAGGATGATTTCCTCTAATTGGACGACATTTGAATGCGAGAGCTCTGTACATAGTGACATTTCACGGATGGCTGACTGTGAAAGACCCGTGTACTGGATCGTCTCGCCTTCCTTGTCAGGCTTGAATCTAGACAAGGTTAGACATGAAGAAGTGTGATACATCGCGGATCATACTTTTTGATGGCAAACTCTCCTTTCTTGCCATTTTTGCCGAGAGCCTTGTAGACTCGGCCATAGGTTCCGCTGCTGATGAAACCTACAATGTGATATCGATCTCGAACCCGGACCTTGCTGGTATATCCACCAGGTCTCCGAGATTCGACGGCATCTATACCACGACATGTCAGCCCAGAACAATTTGCAGCAAACTGCTTGGTGAGGAGAAAGTGCCTGATGACGGAAACATATCACAATATTCAAGCCTTTTGACCATGCCAATTGCATAGAGAGGTGCAAACCAAATCCACGACACAAAGAACCAAGGGGAAAGAGTTACCACGAGAATAGAATCCTCCAGAATTCAAAAAAGGAAAGCCCTTTCCAAACATGATGAAAAGAGAAAACACGGCTATACAAACAAGCCAAACTTAAGAGATAGGCACAGGAAATATATAATTACCATCAGTGGCCTGCAGACTGCGTTTCAAGTTCTGGCTGACTCTGGTTCGGGCAGAGAGAGAGCCGGAGGAGGGCGGGTTTGTCAGACTCATTGGAGAAGGGCCTTGACAGCATCCATTGGTGTTTGTCCACAGGTTTCAAGTAAAGTGGAATATTGTCGGTCTTGAAGCTCTTTTCAGGCGATGAGTTCAGCTGGAGGGTTGAAACAGGAGATGCTGAGTCAGCTTTCCCGGCCACCTCGGGACTCTTGATATGACAACTTGGAGTCTACATGTACTTCTCTTTCGGGCTGGCATAGTTCGTAACTCGGTTAATTTCACTTATTCAGTTTGATCTGATCTTATCTAATCCCAACTGCGAAGGGGTGGGATAGGCGTCATCCCGATCCATCCCTCCATCCCTCCGTGTCCCCAACACTCCAGTCATTTCGCCTTGGACTTGTTTCACGATGTCAGATACATCAACCAAGTCAAGCGTGACGCCGTATTTGGTCTATCTCGTATTCATCACCACGCTTGGCCCGCTTCAATTCGGCTACCATTTGGTAGGGTATCTAGTCCCCGCATTTGCGGAGCATCACTGATACCATGAACAGGCAGAGCTAAATGCCCCTCAAGCAGTGATAACATGTGAACGCAAAGGTGTTCATTCTGCAGGCATTACATTCCATGGTCTGCCGCAATGTCTTGCGATGAGCCCATCCCAATTCGGCCTGGTCTCTTCAATCTACACGCTCGGTGGTCTGGTCGGGGCTCTGCTGGCAGGACCTGTCTCGACTAAGTACGGGCGTCTCCTTGCCCTCCGGGCGACTACGGTGTTCTTCACCCTGGGCCCTGTGGCAGAGACACTTGCGCCCGCCATTCCGCTTCTTGTTTTGGGTAGATTCCTCTCCGGAATTGGTTCCGGTGCTGCCATTGTGGTTGGCCCAATCTATATCTCAGAGATCGCTCCTCCCAGTGCTCGAGGCTTCTTCGGTGCCTTTACCCAAATCATGACCAATGTTGGTATATTGTTGGCCCAAACCCTGGGGTATTTCTGGAGCGAAGCAAACATCTGGAGACTGATCTTAGCTGTGGCTGGAATAATTGGTGCCTTGGAACTTTTGGGGCTGTTCTTGGTACCGGAGAGTCCTGCCTGGCTCGCAGAACACCAGAAGGTTGGCTATGCACGCAGAGTCCTACAGCGGATCCGCGGCCGAGATGCTGATATTGAAGCGGAGATTGCTAGCTGGAGGATTTCGGATGCTCTATCCGGTGAAGAAGAGTCTTTGCTCGCCCCATCAGAGACTCAATCTTCCAAGAAGCCTTCTGTTACGTTCATGCAGGTAGTCAAGGACCCTTACTATCGCCCGGCCATTGTCGCTGTGGTTGGAGTGATGGTGGCTCAACAATTGACCGGAATGAACAGCATTGTTATGTACAGTGTGTCCCTGCTGCAGACCATCCTACCTACGACAGCCGCGTTACTGACAGTGATGATCTCGGCTATCAATCTCCTGATCACGCTGGCGTGCTCTCCACTACCGGACCGCATCGGCCGCAAGACGTGTCTCCTGCTGAGCATCAGTGGTATGGGCAGCAGTTCTATTCTTCTCGCGATTAGCATCTACATAAATGCGAAGATCCTGACTGCGATCGCAGCATTGCTCTTCGTGGCATGCTTCGCGGTCGGACTTGGCCCAGTCCCCTTTATTCTGGCCTCCGAGCTGGTTGGACCAGAAGCAGTTGGCGCAGCGCAGAGTTGGGCACTGGGTGCCAACTGGATTGCAACCTTTGTGGTTGCGCAATTCTTCCCCATCCTCAATGATGCTCTCGGAGGCCGCGGAAAGGTCTATTGGGTCTTTGCAGCTATGGCAGGGTTACTAGGTGGCTTTATCTATCGATATGTACCAGAGACCAAAGGCAAAGCCAATGCTGATGAAGTCTGGAATCGGACGGACCGACGACAAGACTAAAGTGATCGACCGTTTACCCGTCAACTTTGATTCCGGTTTCTGTTTCTCAACACGTCTCAACATAAATTCGTAGACAGTTCATACATGGCTCGCAGCAGATTTGAAACTGTGACATCTTAGGGAAAACAGTACTCCGTCCGTAACACTATACATGCACCTAAAACAGTCCCAGTAGGCATCCATTTTATCCAAGTTGCGGTGTGGGGAACGATTGACGTCGATACCGAGCTGGTCCGCTCAATGGCATTGTCTCTTGCTCTCTCCTTTATATTTTGTTGAGATCTACAAAGAACTACTGTTTGCTCTTCTATTGGACTTTGGTGATTGTACTGTACTGCCACGACAGCCTCTGCTGCCGATCGGCTGGAGATCTTAGATCGAGAATCGAGAACTGGGAGACCTGGGGTCTAAGAACAAGCCACCTTGACTAGGGGACCCTGAGCCACAACACTTATTTCCCCCGCTACTCCTTTCTTTCTTTTCCCCTTCACCTTTGTCCTCTACACATCCGTCATGGTCCGGTTGGGATTGCCCTCACGGTTGAGCTCGCATCTCTCCACGAGGAGCGCGTCGTCAACACCCGGCCAAAGCAGAAGCACCAGTCCGCTACGAACACCACCAGACTCAAAGCCTCTACTGCTGAAGGTTTCTGTGATTCGGGTAAGTCATGCATTGTGTTATCTCTTCTCTACTGTACTCTGACAATAGCGCTCAATAGGGACAAAACCTCGCAGCCAAAGACCGAGGTGGCACGAGCGACCCAGTGAGCACCCCTCAACACCCCCCAAACGCAACTTCGGCCATGATCGCTTACACGTACAGTACTTGGTGGTTACATTGGGAGACGCGAGACAGTCGACACCGACAATATTTAAGACCCTGAACCCCGAATGGAACGTCTCGTTCGAAATGCCCATTGTGGGTGTACCGCTGTTGGAATGTATTTGTTGGGATCATGATCGGTTCGGCAAGGATTACCTGGGCGAATTCGACATCGCACTAGAGGACATCTTCATTGATGGCCAATTGAATCCAGAGGTGGGAGGCACACATTCGGATCATCGGAGTCTCAATGCTGATACTAGACACAGCCCAAATGGTATACCCTCAAATCGAAACGGAAGCCGGCCAAGAAGAAGGACAGCACTGTCTCGGGCGAAATCCTGTTGCAGTTCTCCCTCGTTGATTCCGCGAGCCCCGCTGCGCCGCCGTCAGACACATACCGCAAGTTCAAGCGACTCGTATTCTCGGCAGAGGACGATGACCAGCTCCCCCCGGTTGATTTCGATGATCTCGATCGGGACGAAGAGACCTCCGATGAAGCCGATGACCTAACACAACCAGAAGTGGTGGAAAAGCGTCGCCGGCGACTTCGCATGGCCCGCTTGAGGCGCAAGTCCCTGGCAGCTCGCGCATACCAGTTCTCTGGCTCAGGCAGTGGGGTGCAAGGCATTGTCTTCATGGAGATTGTCAAAGTGACCGATTTGCCCCCTGAACGGAATGGTACAGATTCCCGGCTCTCCTGATGTTGACAGATTGATTGATTGAGTTACTAGTGACGCGGACATCGTTCGATATGGATCCCTTCGTCGTGACCTCTCTTGGCAGAAAGACCCTGAGGACTCCTGTTATACGCCATAACTTGAATCCAGTTTACCATGAGAAAATGGTGTTCCAGGTCATGCGACACGAACAAAACTACACTATTAGCTTCACTGTGATGGATCGTGACAAATTCTCCGGCAATGACTTCGTCGCTTCGGCTGGTTTCCCACTCCAAAACCTCGTTCAGTCCGGCCCTATTGCAGACCCCGAGACGGGGCTGTACAAATTTATAGAGTTGGAGGAGGCGGTAGAAGAGCCGAGCCCGACCACCAAGTCATCGCGAGTCAGCCCTTCCGCCTCTTCCTCAAATCTTTCAAGAATGTCTAGGCCTATACTGAAGACTCGTAGCTCCGCTACCTCAGTCTCAAGCCAATCCATGCAGGACGTACCTGTGCCAACTCTCATCGCACCCTCCTCCCTCCCAGAAGAAGGAATTGCAGTGATGGATAGCGCCAGCACTTTGCAGGTGCCCTCCACAACGACTGCGTATGATAGCGATTCGGCCCCGCCCCCTGACAAGAACGGCTTCCGGTCTTATACCATCCCTCTCATCCTGAAGAACCGGGAGCGTTGGGAAGACAAGCATTCACCAGAGTTGCATGTTAAGGCAAAGTTCTTACCATATAGTGCTCTGCGTCAGCAATTCTGGAGACTGATGCTCAAGCAATACGATGCAGATGAGAGTGGTCGCATTGACAAGGTTGAAATGACGACAATGCTTGATACTCTCGGTTCGACCCTGAAGGAATCGACCATCGACAGCTTCTTCGAGCGGTTCAGCGAAGACAATGCGGCCAATGAAACCGATGATCTCTCGTTCGACCAGGCAGTGGTTTGCCTCGAGGACACGCTTAAGACTCTGCAGAAGCGAAACTCAATGGCGATTCCGAAGCTGCCCCCGCTCCCACCGCTGTCGAACTCTGGAAGTCAAGGAAGTGAGCCATCTAGCAGCGATGAGCACTTAGAAACCAGCACCAGTGCCCCTTCCAATGCCGACCCACATAGAACAGCCATTCCGACCCTGTCTACCGAAGACCAGTCTAGTTCCAACGATGAGTACGCTCAGCCCGATGATCTCGCTGATGAACGGGGCGAGGAGCACGTTATTGAAATCCGCGAATGCCCTCTTTGCCACCAGCCCCGTCTTTCCAAGCGCTCTGATGCGGATATTATCACGCACATTGCTACATGCGCAAGTCGCGACTGGCGGCAGGTTGACAACCTGGTCATGGGTGGTTTCGTGACCTCCAGTCAGGCACAGCGCAAGTGGTACTCTAAGGTCATTACAAAGATCTCATATGGCGGATACAAACTCGGAGCGAACTCGGCCAATATCCTTGTCCAGGATCGTATCACCGGCCAGATCAACGAGGAGCGTATGAGTGTCTATGTGCGATTGGGAATTCGATTGCTCTACAAAGGTATCAAAAGTCGTGACATGGAAAAGAAGCGAATTCGCCGTGTCCTTCGCTCTTTGAGTGTCAAGCAGGGTCGGAAGTATGACGACCCAGCCTCTGCATCCCAGATCCTGGACTTTATCAACTTCCACCAGCTGGATATGTCCGAAGTACTGCTTCCATTGGAGAAATTCCGTAACTTCAACGAATTCTTCTACCGTGCCTTGAAGCCCGAGGCCCGACCATGCTCCGCTCCCGAGGAACCCAAGATCGTTGTATCTCCGGCGGACTGTCGCGCAGTCGTCTTTGACCGTATGAGCGATGCAACTAGTATCTGGGTGAAGGGTCGTGAGTTCTCCATCGAAAGGCTTCTGGGCAACGCCTACCCAAAGGACGCAGCTCGGTACCGTAACGGTGCCATGGGTGTGTTCCGTCTGGCGCCCCAGGACTATCACCGCTTCCACATCCCCGTCGATGGAATCATGGGCGAGCCTAAGACCATCGAGGGTGAGTATTACACTGTGAACCCAATGGCAATTCGCTCCGCACTGGACGTCTATGGCGAGAATGTCCGCATTCTCGTTCCCATTGATTCTGTCGCCCATGGTCGGGTTATGGTTGTCTGTGTGGGCGCCATGATGGTGGGCAGCACGATCATCACTCGGAAAACTGGCGAGAAGGTCTCACGCGCTGAAGAGCTGGGTTACTTCAAATTCGGCGGTAGCACCCTTCTCGTTCTCTTCGAAGAAGGCAAGGTCAATTTTGACAAGGACCTGGTGGATAACTCCAAGGGCCCTCTGGAAACTCTGGTAAATGTCAAGTCTATGTGTCTTTCTGCCAGCGAAGCTAACCCGAATAATTCAGATCCGAGTTGGCATGTCCGTCGGACATAGTCCCGATATCCCTCAATTCGAGCCCGACATGCCCAAGAAGGCCGAGAACATCACCGCCGAGGAAATGCAAGATGCCAAGCGTCGTATCGAGGGCAGCCTGGCACCCCCGAGCAATCCTTCCACCGTGATGAAGACACTCCAATGATCTGTCTTACTTTTTTCTGGGGACTCAACTCCCACCATCCGACACTCTTTCACTGAACATATTTTTCAACACTGGCGCTGGCGGGGTCATTTGTATCATTTCATTTTACACATCATAGCGTTCATCTGCAGCATCTGCACATTGCGAGCATCGGAGACTAGGTGGTGCACTGTAGAGGTGAGAGGCAGTTTGATCTGAAGAGATATGCATAAAGCGATTTGTTGGTCCTTGTATACGTATTCTCTGATATTCAAAATATGAGTAAACACTTGTTGACTTCATCTGCTACAGGCTAGATATATATGTTCAAAACAGAGCTATCATCTCATCTTTTATCCCGATTATCATCCTTACTCTCCTTTCCTATTTGTGTTTTTCATACATTGAGTTTCGAAGTCTTTCTTATTCTATATCCATTTCTCCTCGAGGTTCGCTGCCCAAGCATCAACAAATAGGCACTCAACGTCTACCTCGGATATCGAAGGTCAACAGTGTACCTATAAAAAACATTAGTAAGCGTGAATAATATAATAACTTTACGCTTATTCATAAGGTCTCAATTGATTAAAAGAATTATAAGAAGAGCAAGAAGGAGAATAGCAAAGTAGAAGATTGAAGTATAACGGTTGCAAATCCCGAAGGAGACTAGCGCGGTCCCCACGCGCCCGACCAAAACAACCGCGTGCGAGAATCCAACCCACCACTCACCACCCGCCGACCTATGCTGCGCTCCCCTTGCGTATCTTTTCGCGGAACTGAATAACGACATCGCATAATCTGCTGCTCACTACTTGCAGTACTGCACCTTGACGCGACCCGCGCCTAACATTCCGCCCACCGCCAACCGATTGCCCCGAGAACCGACAAGCTTGACCGTGCCACCACCAATATACACGCCAGCTGAGAGTTAGGCGACTGCTCGAAACGATTCAATAGTTGTATCGCGAGTCAGTTGAGCTGCCCAGAGGAGTTAATTCAGGTTCGGCATTCTTCCGAACAGGGGAGTTGAGCTTGTTCATTCTCCAGGAAGCCTCTTCAACCAGGGGTATTCGGCTGGAGAAAAAGACAACACGAAGCAACTAGCCAACGCAGATACGGAGGGTACTCTCTTTTACCTCGACCTTTATCAGCAACCAAAAGAACCCCGCGTGCACCCCTCCTGACATGACAATCGCGGTCCTGGCGACTACTACGACTACCACAAAGCGTCGCGAACCGCTGGGGACGATTACAATGGCGGCCCCAAAGGCGCAATCGCAATCCGCGGGCGCGTCCAAAGGTACAGTGGAACGGAGGACTACGCGATTAAGCGCAAGTAATCAAGGGCTCGAGGAGATGGCAAAGGACGGGAAGCGGAAACCTGGTGAGTAATCTGCTTTGAATGAGGCTTTTGCGTGATTGCGTAGGACAAATGTCTAATTCAACGACTACAGTGCAATACGAGGAGGATGATGGATTTCAATTCTCGCGGAAACCCTCCAAGAAGCCCCGGCCTTCAATTGAAGCGATTCCCGAAAACCTCAATTCGGATATTGAGAATGCGCCTCCAAAGTCAACACCGAGACGAGGGCGGCCACCGAAGAAGCGACCCGAAGACAAAACTGGTTCAGGCGGGATGCCAGCGAAGGGGGTATCCATGGAGCTCCCGAGTAGGAGACCAACGAGGGGGTCCGGGAAGACGAACACAGAATCAGAAGCTCAACCAGCAACTGCGACGCGCTCATCCCACAACCGCGATAGCCCAGAACAGCAGCCAGAGGCCAAGAAACCAAGGAAAGGACGACCCCCCAAAGCGAAAGCGCCAGAGACGAACGGATACTATTCACCAGAACAACCGCCCGCGGGAACCAAGGTGGCACTACCTACGGCCGATACTCCGGTGATCCAGCGCAACAAGGAGCTGCGGGGTGTGAAGGGCGATAAAAAAGGACGACGAAGCAGCTTGAGCAGACGGGGGCGACGGGCCAGTGATTTAATTGACTCGGGTACATCAAATGGTAGGGTTCCTTGTCTGTCGAGGATTATCAAGGGATAACTACTGATTTTCTCTATCGTATAGCATTACCCCATCGAGAAGTCAGCGTGGCAGATTTCTATAAACACATTGCCGATGAAGGTCTTCCGGAGCCGCGAAGGATGCGCCAGCTTTTGATCTGGTGTGCAACTCGTGCGCTTGGCGACAAGCCTTCAGGGGCCTCAAATTCAGATGACCAAAGTGCGCGTTTAGCAGGTATGTGGATACTGTGGGCTTGCATTAAGAAGATGCTAACCGGGAATTTTACAGCGCGTGTGATACAAGAGGAGCTACTTCGGGAATTCTCGAGCAATTCAGAGCTTTCCAACTGGTTTTCTCGCGAAGAATTGAATCCCCCAGCTGTGATCGTGAAGAAACCGAACCCACGAAACGTGCAGAACACAGATAAGATCAAGGAATTGGAGGAGCACATCCAAAAGTAAGTCGAGCATTGATTTGAGTGCGGGACACGTTGGCTAACAGATCTCAGACTACAAAAAGAACGACAGTCCCTCAATGCAATCCTTCGTCAACCAGCGATTCCAGCTCTCAAATCCGAGTCGCAACCGGACGATCAGCAAAAGACGAAACGATCCTCCAAGAAATCACGGGAAGAAGTCGATCCCTCTCTTCTAGACCCCTCTCAACAAGCCATATTGAGATCTCTCAACCCTCCGACTCAGCCATCAGAAGAGGAATCTTCTACCTCATCTTCTACTCGACCACCTATGACCCCATCTGCCGTCTCATCTCAACTATCACGCATTACAGCTGGCCTAGCACCAACGCTCGACGCCTTCGCGGCCGGTGTACATGATATTGAACTGTACCGCGCTTCTGCTGACACTGTCTCATCCCGAATACTCCGCATTTGCTCACAACGACTGGAAGAGCGCGACGCGCACAATACACAAAGCCGTCTCGCAATCGAAGGCGACAACAGAAACCAGCCAGCAGATGTGCCAAGGCCCCGAGAAGACCTGGGTCTTATCCTGGGAGCTCTCAGCCGACTCGAGAGGCGATAGGACTGCCATTTGTCTACTGTTTACGGGGATTCATTCTCCCTGGCTATACCCTCAATAAGTTGTTTTCTGGCGATTCTCCGTTCGTCTCTTTTCTTCTTTTTCTCCCTTCTCCGATCTGGGAATTACTGCAAGGGTTCACTACGAACGAACTGATAGCGATGATTTTGATGAGCCCCAGTCCACACCGTGGAGCTGGGGAAAGGCGCATTTACGGGGTTGATTGGGATAGCATTTGCATCAATTCCACAAGCTCGGAGTTTGGGGTCGTGATTCTGTGATCTATTTCATGAGGTGAACGGTGATTTTGGGCTGGGTAAATAGGTAGCCTAGTAGTGCCTAATGCATGCCATCAATTATTAGTGCAACAATTTTTGATATCCAAGGGATGAAGCTTAGCGTGATTAGAGTATGACGCGGAGATTAATCTAACAAATAGGGTTACGTCTATTGGCTGTGTTCTGCAGCCTGCCGAACTCAAGCTAACATATGAGCCTCGGCTGTATGATCCCTTGCAGAAACGTGAAGGCAATCTACAGAGTGGAAAGGACTTGAGAAACGACACTGTAAATTAACATAACAAAAGCTGATATAGCCTAGGTATCTCAAAGATCAAACATGACAGAGTGTACTCTCGTATATAGCGAACAATAACAAACAGAACGAGAGAATACAAAATATAATCAACGTAAATGACAATGCTGCTCCATCAATTGATGCTGGTGCTTCAAGAGCCCGCTGATAAAAACAAACTGAAATTCAAAGATGGCACCCAAAAACAAACCCCAAGATAAAACAATTTTGCTCTTCCTGCCTCCATATCCAAAAGACACCCGCAAATCAAGTCCAAAGCAAGTCCCAGGAAAAGGAAAGGTCAACATAGCACAAATACACGGGGGGAGGTCCTCGGTGATTTTGGTCGTGACTCGTAAGAATCGTAGCTTCTATATACGTCCAGACGGAGAGTCAGGGGTGGCGTGGAGAGAGAGAGAGAGAGTCGATATAGACTTAGTCAATTGAACGGGAACAAAGAGGCAAAGAGGACTAAAAAATCACAGTCTGTATGCAACGCGACATTCAATCCGCTGCTTAATGACGGAATAGATAAGAGTGAAGATCACCGTAGATCATCAAGATGCAATGCAAGGGGTTGATCAGTTACGGCCCATAAATGCAAACGTTCAAGACCCCGCAAGCCGGGCATGACGCTAAGATATCAAATGCAAAGGGGATGCCAGGGGTGACTGGTCATGTATTGGCAGCTCAAAAACTGAAGAGTCCGCTTCGTTTCTTGCCTAATGGATAGACCACCAAAGCAGCCAGGAAGAGACCGACAGTAGTGCCAATAGCAACTTGCACCATACCATATCCGATATCGAAGACGACGCCATAGCTCTGGGTCTTCGCCTGGTCAGATGAGAGGTTCTTTGCTGCGTCGACGAAGCCCTGCGTTCCATTATTGACAACCGCGTAGGGAGACCGGGTCATCTCTTCTGCAGAGGTAATACCCGATATCAGCGAGCCACTAGCTGCAAGACCAGAGGGAACGAGGACGAATATCGCTGGCAACATTGCCGCAGCGGCAAGACCGTGTCGCAGACGACTGTAGAAATTCCCCATTACACCAATGACAAAGGCACCTAGGGCATTGGAGACCTGAGTATTGGAGTAAAAACGCTTAGCGCTGAAGTAGTTGACCACGTAGCCTGCCAAAGAGATGATCATCATAATAGGGATTTGTCGCCACTTGGCACGGTTGACTATTGCCAAACACACAGTGAACACGATCACGAATGGAAACCTTTGAAGGTACTCATTGCGGATGGGACTGGCAGGGCATGTATATGCAGTTGAGGCTTGCGAGTCGAGTAGTCCGTACACAGCTGTGCCAATTGTAATTCCGAACCCGAGGAACAAGGAGTAGACAATGGCATAGACCATGCGGACTGATCCAGCGATGATACTGCGCGACTGGAGCTCGAGACTAGCACAAAGTACCGTGTATCCTGGTAGGATGAGGGCGATGGCTGACTGTGCTAGAGCCGAGAAGCAAAAGAGAGGCTCACCCTGGAACCTGATGCTTCCAAAGGCACGGGCGAGGAAAGAGGTCAGCACTGCAGCTGAGATCTCGAACACGTTGGAATATAAGCTCGATTTGGGCGACAGAATCAACTGCAGTATTCCAAGAAGACAGCCTAGCAGAAAAGCGACAGGGATATCGATTGGTCGGGCGTCGAAAGCGAACGGTCCAACTGATGCACTAGCACAACCGTGGGCGAAGATGAGGAAAAGGATGTGGAACTTGCTCGGCTTTTTCATCACCTCGTCCAGTCGTTGGATTGCCTCTTCAACCCCAATGATATCGTGAATGACCTCTTTGTAGATCTCGTGGACATCAGCCAGTTTGCCCAGGTCAATTCCTTGACTGGACCGGACAACCTTGACTTCAGTTGTGTGTGTAGAAGCATCATCGAAGGAAATGATCATACAACCAGGAATGTACAAGAATTGGCCATCGATCTGGATGACACGGGCTGTCATTCGCATGTACTCCTCCAACCGATGAGTTGGAGCTCCATACTTCATCAGAGCACGACAAAGACGAATCAGATATCGTTGCCGAGACAAGAGCTCAGCAATATGAACGGTGATGTGAATCTCGTCTTCGAGGTGAGATTTAGGCCGGGAACGACCACCTATGCTCGGAATTGCAGCGCCGCTACTGCGAGACCGCGTAAGCATCGCAAAAGGCGAGCTAGATTGGTGGGAGGATCTAGTCACGGAAATGCTCGAGCGAGCAGAGGACTTCTCATACCACTTCTTGGGTGGCTTCCAGACAGAGTCTGGGGATAAGCCACGTCCACTGTACTCGGACATGCTCCCCTGTCGAGAGCGCGAGTGATCGTAGCGACCACCACCATGACCATGGTCATGATGAGAGTGGTCGTAGAGCTTGAGGAGTGATGAGAGAATGCCTCCGCGGTACTGAACCGGCCGGTCATAGGATTCGGAGTCTCTGTCTTCGCTTGGGGTATCCTGACCAGACAGAGACGGAACACGAAGACGAGTCAGGAAGTCGAGGTCTCGGGGTGACATTTGTCGTAGAATATAACGTGCTTTAGAGGTGTGCGGTGTTGATCGCCCGTCTAGGAAGGCCGATTCATTGTCATGTATTAAATCGTCGAAGAGTTGTTTCTCAGGAAAAGAGATTATAGGAAACTTATCCCCATCTTCAGCGAATGCCGCCTCAGTAGGATTGGAGGCGATTGAAGACAAAGATCGACTTTGCTTCGGAGATTTTGGAGGACTGAGAAGGGATGCGAGCTGATGGGCCTTTTCATGTGCGAAGTAGATAGCCCCCTTGACATTCGTACGCTCATGGAGCTCCCGTACAGTCCCAGAGCTGGTCCTGGTGCTGATCGTCAGGCCAGTGACATCTACTGACGCGCAGGCGAGGCCATCGACCCCTAGGGGAACCAGTGAGGGGCTTGGGGAGCTCGTTTCCTGGATAGCTGGAATGTTGACCGTGGGTAGTGGTCTTTGTGGCAGCTCACAACCCCTTTGGTAGAGTCGGGAGTCGATCGCTGTGGGTTCGCTCTTGGATTCACAGGCGATTTTCAACTGAGTCTGAGTCGTGCAGGGAATGCCTGCATTCCGATGCTTGTCCCGTGCGCCACTCAGGCTCTGCCGAGACAACTTGTCAGGACTATAACCGGGCAGCGAGGAACGCAAGCCTGATACTGGTTTAACGTCAGAGGTAGAACGGCGGGAGGAGATCGGGAGGTCAAAATAACCCCCCGCCATTTGGGTGTTTTTCTTATTTTCTTATAATAAAAGCTTCTTATCACTTGGTTACTCAGTGGAGCTCACAGGCCTCTTCGGTGACCGAGCTTTTAGTGAGCAGCACGCGCTGTAGGGCTAACTGTAACCCGGCAACAGTCAGATATGTGAGCTAACTTGGAGAGCTTAGCCTGATAGCTTCAATTTCATAGAGAGAAAGAGCCGACCTTGTTCAATGCAGAGCATAGGAAAATCACTAGAAAAAAAGCACAAGACTGAAAGAAACCCACACACTGTGAGATTTCTTCGGAAAGGGGGTCAAGATCGGCGGAAGACCTGCGAGGAATGAGAACTATGTCACGAGTACATAATGATAGATAACAGGATACCGTATCGGAAAATAAAGACGTCTGCAACCTCGGAGGAAGGGGTTTGTGTGTGGGAGGGGAGAGTAGACCGATATAAAAGAGACATAATCATAGTCCGGGAAGGGATTTCTCTATTTACGACCTTCTCCGCTTAGCAACTGTAAGAGAACAGACTTTTCCGAGTTTGTTGGAAGCACACGGACCATATCAGGAAGAACTAGAGACACAAGGATGGATTGGTGGGATTTCGTCGCCATGATGATCCCGTGTAGCCACGAAGGGGCCACTTCCGTGGGCTCTCCTGCTTTTTGCCACGGTAGGCCAGCTGGCAAGTTTGACGACCAGAGTAAAGGATGGGTCAAGGTATGTCAGGGCGCAGCCTACCGGAATGGTTTACAATAGATACGGAAGACCTCCCTTGGTGGGTACTTCACGGGAGATTGACGCGTTAGTCGAAATAGACCCAGTTTTTCTGACCCGAAAGGAGGTGATTTGCATCAGGGCCAAGGTTCTGGATCGTGGGATATCGACACGCATTACAAGTTCCCGACCGTTGCCCGAACAGACAAGTCCCAAAGGGTAGAGAAGGGGGCCGAGCTCGTTGTTGAAAAGACTAGTTGGTTCCACAGGTCAATGAGGTATCACAAAGTAGCTAAAAGAGTCTCATGGCCGTCAAAGGGGTGTGCTGGTATCGGGGTATGGTTGAAAAAGGATCTTCAAGAATCGGAGGCAGAAGTAGATCAGTGGAGCAACCTTTTTTCTAGTGCAATTTGCCTTCCATGTTGACTCAGTGCTGCATGGTGTCTGACATGCTCTCTGTGTTATCTCAAGCGTATTTGTAATGTAATTGGGAAC